CCCTGCTGCAGCCCCAGTGCTGGCAGGCACCCATGCACGTGCACCCACACATATACATACATACATGCTCACACACACACACACACACACATGCACGCATACACACATGACTTACATGCCTGCAGCTGCCAGGGCTTCCGCACAGACCCACATGATGTCCCCACTCCAAGCCCCAAGCAGCTCCTTGCTAGGACGCGCCAGAAAGTGCCAGGAAAGCCAGGCAGAGCAAAATACTGGACATTTGCTGATATTTTAAAAAAACACCCAAGCAGAGATGGTAGGACCCAAAAAGAGGATGTGTCTGGGAAACCCTGGACAGATGGTAATCCTATTTTAAGAAAGCATTATAATAAACTTGTATTTTTGAGGTCCTAACCTCCACAGGATTAGAATCTTAAATAAGGAAAAGGGAGTAACATGGGGAGTGCTCTAAGACAGCTTTGAGGGCAAGAGGCACAAGCACCTGGACAGGACAAGGGATTTTTTTTGTGTGTAGGATAAAAGGAAGGACTGAGTGAAACAAGGGTCCCAGATGTCACATGCTTTTGACTGATACTTACTTGGGCTGTTCCAATGTAAAACCATCATCCACCTTTAACAATACCCACCTAACTTTAAGGAATCTTGGCTGCCTCAACTGTTCTGTCCCTACAAGTTAAAGAAAGTATATACTTTCCATTTCTACTAGGGAAGATGGAACCAGGTTAAAGATTACATTAACAGTTAACTACATTACTATATTATTTTCAGAGAATTACAAGTAAATAATTCTATTTTTCATGTAGGACAGTTTAGTTACATGCCTGTTTACTATAAAGTTACATAGGTCTTTCTATAAGAACAGAGTGCATATTAGAATAAAGCCACTTCAGTTCTGTATTCTTTACTGAGAACACGAGTTTTGATACCTTTTATAATTGTAGAATATTGTCAACATTCTCTATAGAATTATTTTAGAAGTAAAATGGAACAGAGACGTTGGGCAGAAGACTGACAGCACAAGCTAAAAATGAACTTAATGGAAGATAAAATGGAAGTTACTTAGCTGTTATATTACTTTCCCCAAGATCTGAGCTTGAAAATCATCCATTACAGAACATGTTTAACATAGGTAATATATAGACCACTGCAATTTTCAATACTCATTCTGAAATTTCCAGAAAAGATTCATTGAGAATAACAGGGAATCTCATTCCCTAACACATTTTCTCTGGATTCTGAAAAATGCCTAATTTGAATACTTGGTTTAAAATATCTGATTGGCCAGTGAAAGAGGAATCTTACTGATTTTGTATGTAACAGTTTTGCCTTCACACATCTTTTTTACAAACATGCTTCACAATCCACAATTGCCACAATGGACTCAATCTGTATTAGATAATACACCTGAATATTTCAGATCTCTATTAGGAAAGACAAAAAGCCGTGTACATATCTATCATGAAGGAGACTTGTTGGAAAAATGAGACATGCACGCGCGCCTCTGTGTGTGTGTGTGTGAGAGCGTGTGCGTGAGAGAGAGAGAGAGAGAGAGAGAGCATTGTAAGGGGAGGTTAGAACAGAAAAATACTGAACTTAAATAAAAAACTAGAAATTATTTGTTTTGTTTTAACTGACATGAAAAGCTTTTGTCCAAAAATGTTGAAATACATTTCTAGAAAGTAGGTATTTACTTGGAAACTGAAAGCATAAACTATGTTCATAGCTCCCTCTGATGACCATTGGATACTACACAACCAGAGTCTCCTTTTATTTTTGTTCATGCATTCAACTGACAGCTGACTGGTTAAATTCTAATTGCTTCCAAGTGAGGTCAGCAAAGGTATTTATCGAAAAGGACTGAACAACAGGCTCAACACACACATGCACGCGCATGCATAAGCACATACACACACCCCATCTCTCTCGCATGTTGATTTATGGAAACAATTATAATTCTAGTGGAATCTTTCTGAGCTGAGTAAGTTTGTAGCTACAGTAAAGAGACTTATGCTGCAAAAAGCAGAAAACAGAAATGGAATTCTTGTGTATCCAGATATTATCAG